GAAGCCCTTGAAAGGTCAACTCATCTTATCTTCATGGGTCAAGCCCGGTCCAAAACAACCGAACATTTAACAAAATTAAATTTTTCTGATGCACTGAAGGTGGAGTCAACGAAAACGTGTCGGACGAATCGCTGAGCTAATCCCAGTCGGACGAACCGCTGAGCCAGAGTTTCTCTTAGGTGAGTAATAAATAGAAAATAATAATTTTACAATAAAGAAGCAACTGTTCGAGTGTAAGCACGGTAAGGCCAAGGTTGATTGTATATGTTTTACGCAAATGTGGAAGGTAGCAGTTTGTTATATGTTTGTTACATAAAAAATGTCCTAGGAAAGATCTCTCTAGTAACTCATTCCTTGTGCGGATACCATAATATTCGATGTCACCATGGTAAGAGTTAAGCTCGTTTCTTGTATGTTTATACGTAAATGTAAAACATGTACACGTAGAAATGAAATGTTACAGGAACGATCTCTTCACTCCTAGCTTTAATGTGTGTTTATTACCTTTTCACCAAACCCGTGTCCCCTTTGTTTTCAGCTTCTACACATCACGAATACCAACCCTTCACCGATAATGTACAACGGTGAACCTATCGTTCACGAAGTGATTTAGTTACCTATGTGTTTCTCAATAAAACGTGAAATAACTGTTTGTTGTTTACTCAATCACAGACATCAGTTATGGATAGACCTAACGTCTCATGCTTTGTTCACAAAACAGTTACGATTAACTTTATGGTTGTGATGATCTCACTTTTCTTTACAATAACATTGTGATAAGATCACCTTAATCTTGTGTTTAATCGTAGCTGTTGTTGTTTTGTGAAACAGCTCTATCTTTACTCGCACACGTTGACGCACGAACTGTGCTCTTTGTCCTGTGTATGTCAGGAGGACATCCGTAGCAAATATGTTGATATTACTCAACACGGCTAGACGACACCCACGTTATGATTGAAACCTTACAATCGATTGTGTGAATGTAGTGTAGACAAAACATATCCCAACTAAAAGCCTTTTGAACACTGTGTGACCCACACTGAACAAAAGTACGAAGCTCCTGAAGGGACATTTGCGTAACCAAAAATTAGAAAATAATCTCGTAATAACGACTTTAACTCTCATTATAAAGACTTATAATCCCGTTATAACGACTTTCCAAACACTCGAAATAACGAGTTCTAATCTCGTTATAACGACTTTAAACAAACTTATCTCGTAGCAACGATTTTTAAATCTCGTTATAACGACTTTTCGTGGCCTTCATCTACTTCTGAATTGGGTCTTCTGCATGGACTGCTTAAGTTCATGGTTTGGGCCGACTTCCATGGTCTTTAGCGTCCTGCGTAACACCCTTCCTTGCTTGCCTTCCTGATACCTCCATTGTAGTTGCATCCCAAGGTTGGGCAGAGGCTTGGTGTATAAATCCGACCATTGACAGGAAGAGAGGAGACCCTGACGACGCATAAGTGTGAATGTGAGATGTAAATAATCTTGGCAGTTTGAACGGGGGCATTTTGACAACTGGCGTTAAGCACTTTCACGGAAAGCAAATCTAAAGAACTATGATGCAACTAGCATGTAATTTCCCATAGTTTGATTTGTGGGTGATTGTTTGATCTGTAGCCTGGCTGAAATCTGTTTCCCTGACATACTGTGAGCATAGTACATATTTAAACGTATTTGCTTTTCTTCTCTGTCTATCTCATTATGATTAATAAAAGACTAGTATAGTTAAAATCAGAAAGGGTTATGTGTACTGACTTTAGCAAGTCCTGAGAATATTTAGGTGTGAAGGTTAGTGCTCTGTACATGAGGCCATATCATTTCATTATCATAATGACCAAGTTATAGCAAGCAGTCACTGCGCATGGTTGAGCTGGTACTTCAGCTTAAAGGCGAATACGAACGAAACCAAAACTTTTGATATATTGGAAAGGATATTCTAAAGTCACCTTCCGTGATTAAAATTGAACAAAAGTTGGTAAAATAGTAATAAAAACACAAAAACGTACTCGTATTTCCGCCTATTACGGAAACATCCGACAGTTATTGAGCAGAGGGGGTATCACGTGACATGACGTCATATGTGCCTGTTGCTGATGGCTTCCTCTTTGATTTTACCTTACAACTTAACAGTGTCCATGGATTCTGAAGCAGTAAAAGATGTTCCTGATGTCATTTCTGAAATGGATGTTAGACCGTATCAATACGATCCGGTTTACATCTTGCAAGACAATCTTCCAGTGAAGATGAAGAAGAAGAATCAAAGCGAAACGGAGGCATCGCTTGAGGTCAAAATAAATTTTAAAATAGACCACATAATTTAACAAGAATACTATTTGTCAGCAAAATGTGACAGACCATATCATTTAACAAGAATACTATTTGTCAGCAAAATGTGATACAGTTCCAACCAGCAAACCCACCCCTATTAATATATGGCCAAAAATGTGATTGCAGTTCTTTTTTGTGTCAAATGGGTGAATGTAGAGTGTCTGGGATTTTAAAATAATAGTAATTATGCTTCAGACGGGGAAAATAGAAATTGTCTGCCACAAACATTACACTGGAATTATTTTGTTGAAAAACATTAGGATCAAGAAACAACACGATTTGTATTGCTGTAGCGCTTGTTCTCTGGCAATATGGCGGACGCTTGTCACATATGACGTCACGAGCGGAAAGGTCACGTGAGTTCCAGCGGAATATGCATATAATGGCCGAAGCTCAGATAACAGAAACTGTTTTCGCGATAAAAGCATAATAAACCATATTTTTGAAATAAAATTGGGGTACATGTTTCCGATGACTTTATCTTTCACCCAGCAAATTATTGCAATTGTCTAGTATTCTCCTTTAAGTCATATGGCTGCTATGGCAAACCAGGGTCACTCACTCATTCACTCACCCACCCACACTTTCACACACTCGCTGTCATACACTCACTCACTCGTGGGCAGTGTGGTAGCCTAATGGTTAAAACATCCTCTCGTCACTCGGTGAAGACCTGGGTTCGATTCCCTACGTGGGTACAATATGTGAAGCCCATTTCTGGTGTCTCCCGCGTAATATTGCTGGAACATTGCTAAAAGCAGCGTAAAACCATGAGAGAATCATGGTCACACAGTTTCCCACAGGTGAGAGAATCATAGTCTCACAGTTCCCATCAGGTGAGAGAATCATAGTCTCACAGTTCCCATCAGGGGAGAGAATCATAGTCTCACAGTTCCCATCAGGTGAGAGAATCATAGTCTCACAGTTCCCATCAGGTGAGAGAATCATAGTCTCACAGTTCCCAACAGGTGAGAGAATCATAGTCTCACAGTTCCCATCAGGTGAGAGAATCATGGTCACACAGGGGCTTTCATCTACTTCTGAATTGGACCCGTGAAGGCCCGGGTTAGAATATACTGATCTTCAGTAACCCATGCTTGTCGTAAGAGGCGACTAACGGGATCGGGTGGTCAGGCTCGCTGACTTCATTGACAAATGTCATCGGTTCCCAATTGCGCAGATCGATGCTCATGCTGTTGATCACTGGATTGTCTGGTCCAGACTCGATTATTTACAGACCGCCGACATATAGCTTGAATATTGCTGAGTGTGGCGTAAAACTAAACTCACACTCACTCACTAACTCGTAGAACAACATACAGGGGTGCATTCGAGGACATACAGGCAAGGACAAACTGAATTCGTTGGAGTCACGTGATCCACCCATACAACACTGAATCAGCGTAGTAAACTTCCATATGTTACATTACTATTGACAGCTAAAAAGACAGACACAGAAAGATAACTGTACCTTTTTATTTGTAAACAAGTGTGTGTGTGTGTGTGTGTGTGTGAGAGAGAGAGAGAGAGAGAGAGAGAGAGAGAGAGAGAGAGAGAGAGAGAGAGAGAGAGAGAGAGAGAGTGGATCAGAATGAAACCACACAGACACACATACACAAGATGGTAAAAACAACTAAACATATTGCAGCCGATTCGGCGGTTTTACTTTACGCCGACATGCGCGTTTTAAGTCCATCTCAATTTCGGGCACATCGGGGGTGACTGGGGGAGTCATGACCGAGGCAGCAGTGGTGACATTGTCCTCAACAACAGAACACGTGTTGATGGCATCATCATCATCATCATCATCGACCTCTTTTGTTGGCGTAAGTTGTTGTGCAGGAGGGTGAAGTGAGGCGTGAGGCGACATGTGTCGGATGAGACTCATGTTGGTGGAGGGGTGCATGGAATGGAGAGGGGAGGGAAGATGGACCCGTGCAAGGGCAGAGGAAGCAGCTGGGGAGGTAGAAGTACAGGATGCAGAAGAAGAAGAAGAAGAAGAAGAAATTGGGGAGAGAGGGTTTACAGCATGTGGATTAGAGACAGATGTTATAGGCGATACTCGAAGCGATCGGGATGCGGGAAGAGACTGGGGTGTAGAGGATGGTCGGGTGGGAGGAGAAATGGATTCCATAGGGGGGTCATTCTCATTCGGACGATGTCGACGACAGCGTTCAAGAATTACCTTCCTAAACCGGAAGATATTACGTAACGCTGCAGCCGTCATCGTCAGATCGAGGAGGGACAACACCGCCTCCACCATTGACTCTAGATTGACTGAAACAAAATGGAGAAAAAAGGATCGTTTACTAAGCTACCGAGTAGAAAAGGAACATAAGAAATATGTAATACGAAGACATGATTTTAAAAAAAAAAGCATATTGTCTTCAAATGCTTTCGTTGTTAATCGTTAAGTTGGGTTGTCAAGTAAAACATCATCCTGGACATGGATCAGGAGATGTTCCATCACCAGCTATTGAAGTAAAGTTATAAGCATCGGATATATGTTCAGCAGCTGCAGCAGCGTTAGTCTTAGCAGTATGTGTTATTGTAGGTGAATAGATCGTTATAGAAGCGGTAGTAGCACTGATACTTGTAGTAGCAGCTGCAGCAACGTTAGTAACAACAGCAGCAGTAGTGGTGGCAGGAGTAGTAGTGGTAGTAGTAGTAGTAGTGGTGGTGGCAGGAGTAGTAGTGGTAGTAGTAGTAGTAGTGGTGGTGTCAGGGGTAGTAGTGGTGGTAGTAGTAGTAGTGGCGGGAGGGAGTAGTGAGTAGTGGTGGTGGCAGGAGTAGTAGTGGTAGTAGTAGTGAGTAGTGGTGGTGGCAGGGTAGTAGTGGTAGTAGTGGTAGTAGTGGTGGTGGCAGGGTAGTGGTGGTGGTAGTAGTGGTTGCAGTGTAGTGGTAGTGGTAGTGGTGGTGTGGAGTATTAGTGGTAGTAGTAGTAGTAGTAGTGGTTGCAGGGTAGTGTAGTAGTAGTGGTAGTGAGTAGTAGTGAGGTGGTGAGTGTGTGAGGTGGTAGTGGTGGTAGTGGTAGTGGTGGTGGTGAGTGGCAGTAGAGTGGTGGTAGTAGTAGTAGTAGTGGTAGTGGTGTGTGTAGGAGTGGTGGTGGTGGTGAGTGGTAGTGTAGTGGTGGTGGTGGTGGCAGGAGTAGTGGTGGTGGTAGTAGTGGTGGTGGGTGGCAGGATTAGTGGTAGTGAGTGTAGTGGTGGTGGCAGGGGTGGTGGTAGTAGTGGTAGTGAGTGGTGGTGGGGGTAGTGGTAGTGAGTAGTGAGTAGTAGTGGTAGTGGTGGTGGCAGGATGGTGGTGAGTGAGTAGTGAGTAGTGAGTGGTGGTGGTGAGAGTAGTAGTGGTGGTGGTGGCAGGGTGGTGGTGGTGTAGTGGTAGTAGTGGTGGTGGTGAGTGGTTGCAGGAGTAGTGAGTGGTGAGTGGTGAGTAGTAGTGCAGTGAGTAGTGGTGGTGGTGAGGATAGTGGTGGTGAGTAGTGGTAGTGGTTGCAGGGTGGTAGTAGTGAGTAGTGAGTGGTAGTGGTGGTAGTGAGTAGTGAGTTGAGTAGTGGTGAGTAGTGTAGTAGTAGTGGTGGTGGTGGCAGGAGTGGTGAGTGGTAGTGAGTAGTAGTGAGTGGTGGCAGGGTAGTGTAGTGGTGAGTAGTGAGTGGTGGTGGCAGGGGTGAGTAGTAGTGTGTGTAGTGGTGGTGGTGGCAGTGAGTGGTGAGTGGTAGGTGAAGTGAGTAGTGAGTAGTGGTGGTAGTGGTAGTGGTAGTAGTAGTAGTAGTGGTGGCAGGAGTGAGTGAGTGGTAGAAGTAGTGAGTGTGGTGGTGGTGTGGTGGTGAGTGGTGGTGAGTAGTGGTGAGTGGTGAGTGGTGAAGTGGTGGTGAGTGGTGGTAGTGGTAGTGGTAGTGAAGTGGTGAGTGAGTAGTAGTGAGAAGTGAGTGAGTGGTGAAGTGAAAGTGGTGGTAGTGAGTAGTGGTGGAGTAGTGGTGGTGAGTAGTGAAGTAGTGAGTGGTGGTGGCAGGAGAGTAGTGAGTGGTAGTAGTGGTGAAGTAGTGGTGGTGGTGGCAGTGAGTAGTGGTGAGTGAAGTAGTGGTGTAGTGAGTGGTGGTGAGGATGAAGTGAGTAGTGAAGTAGTAGTAGTGAGTGAGTAGTGGTGGCAGGGGTGAGTGAGTGGTGAGTAGTGAGTGAGTGAGTAGTGGTGTGGGAGTAGTGGAAGTAGTGAGTGAGTAGTGAGTAGTAGTGGTGAGTAGTGAGTGAGTAGTGAGTAGTGGTAGTAGTGAGAGTGGTGGCAGTGAGTAGTAGTGGTAGTAGTAGTGAGTGGTGGTGGTGTGAGTAGTGAGTAGTGAGTGAAGTAGTAGTGAGTGGTGGTGGTGGGGTAGTGAGTGGTAGTAGTAGTAGTAGTGGTGGTTGCAGGGTGGTAGTGGTAGTAGTAGTGAGTAGTGGTGTGGTGAGTAGTGTGGTGAGTGGTAGTGAGTAGTGGTGAGTGGTAGTAGTAGTGGTGGGTAGTAGTGGTAGTGGTAGTAGTAGTGGTGGTGAGTAGTGGTAGTAGTAGTGGTAGTGGTGGCAGAAGTAGTGGTGAGTAGTGGTGAAGGTAGGGTAGTGTAGTGAGTAGTAGTGAAGTGGTAGTGAGTGAAGTAGTAGTGGTGGTAGTAGTAGTAGTAGTGGTAGTAGTAGTGGTGAGTGGTGGCAGGAGTAGTAGTGGTAGTAGTAGTAGTAGTAGTAGTAGTTGAGTAGTAGTGGTAGGGTAGTAGTGGTAGTAGTAGTGGTGGTAGTGGTTGTAGTAGTAGTAGTGGTAGTAGTAGTAGTAGTGGTGGTGGCAGGAGTAGTGAGTAGTAGTAGTAGTAGTGAGTGGTGGCAGGAGTAGTAGTGGTAGTAGTAGTAGTGGTGGTTGCAGGAGTAGTAGTAGTAGTAGTAGTAGTAGTAGTGGTGGTGGTAGTAGTAGTAGTGGTAGTAGTAGTAGTGGTTGCAGGAGTGTAGTAGTAGTAGTAGTAGTGAGTGGTGGTGGCAGGAGTAGTAGTAGTAGTAGTAGTAGTAGTAGTGGTTGTAGTAGTAGTAGTGGTAGTAGTAGTAGTAGTAGTAGTAGTAGTAGTAGTAGGTTGCAGTAGTAGTAGTGGTGGCAGGAGTAGTGTAGGAGTAGTAGTGGTAGTAGTAGTAGTGGTGGCAGGGTAGTAGTGGTGAGTAGTAGTAGTAGTGGTGGTAGGGAGTAGTAGTGGTGGTAGTAGTGAGTAGTGGTTGTGGTAGTAGTGTAGTAGTGTAGTAGTGGTGTAGTAGTAGTAGTAGTAGTAGTGGTAGTAGTAGTAGTAGTGGTAGTAGTAGTAGTAGTGAGTGGTGGCAGGGTGAGTAGTGGTAGTAGTAGTAGTAGTGGTGGCAGGGTAGTAGTGGTGGTAGTAGTGTAGTGGTGGTGGTGGTGGTAGTAGTAGTAGTGGTAGTGGTGAGTAGTAGTAGTAGTGAGTAGTAGTAGTGTAGTGGTGCAGTGAGTAGTAGTGAGTAGTGGTAGTGAGTAGTAGTAGTAGTGGTAGTGAGTAGTGGTGGTGGTGGTGGTGCAGGTGTAGTAGTGGTAGTAGTAGTAGTAGTGGTGGCAGGAGTAGTAGTAGTAGTGGTGGTGGTGGCAGGAGTAGTAGTAGTAGTAGTAGTGGTGGTGGTGGTGGCAGGAGTAGTAGTGGTAGTAGTAGTAGTAGTGGTGGTGGTGGCAGCAGCATTACGATCACGTTCACGTCAACACCACACACATTGTCTTGTCAGTTGATATGATTAATTCGCCTCCGCATGAGATGACCCCCGGAACCATAAACTGTTTGTTTAAGGTCATATTTAAATACCCTTTCTTGACACACACGGATACAGACAGACGGAACTAACGATGAGTTTCTGTGAATTTTACGAACCGAGCGATCATATTTCTCCAAAGGTAGTATTTCACTTTAACAGAGATACTTCATACTGCTCTTTTTCAAAAAAGTAAAAAAACCACAATTTATCAAACAGCGGACGAATTTACAACTTTATCCGCAATTGAGAATGGATAAACTTCTTTGTTCTCTGTATGGTGAGACACATGTCATCGGTTCCCGATTGCGTAACTCGATTATTTACAGGTCGTCGCCATATGACTGGGATATTGCTGAGTGCGGCGTAAACTAAACTCACTCACTCACCTTTGGTAAAAACACAAGTCAACTAGAAAATATATGTTTTAGTTGCGTCAAGACGCTAGTATCTACTACTAAAAGAGGACTGATTGTTGTCACCTATTCTAAAGAAAAAAGAACCCATTCTATGACACAACTCTAACAATTAAAATGAAGTTCGTAAATGAAAAAACCCTCCGTTTTAGAAACTGTTGATCAAGTTCAAATGTTCATATTTCTCACGCCACGTGAAACTACGTCTATTCCCTGTGAATGTACATGTACACACTTGTAGTTTATCGGTTAGTATAAAATGCGCGGAGCAGACTGCCTACGCGCTGTCGCACACAGTGTTAAAGCCACTCGTTGAGGTGACAGGAGAGACTAAACGATAAATGTATGTTTTAACGAAAAGGAACAGACATCTCGTATAGATCCGTTTTCTCACAATGTTGAGATGCACCGTTTTGGGCGATATGACGTTTGTCAAATCCATATGTATTGAAAGAGTTGACTGTAGTTCCTTTTCTGCGTTAGTCTTGTGATTTACACAACTTGGGGGCATGTTCATGACAAACTCATGTTCATTTGAGTGTTTGATATCAACTCCTTGTGCAAGCAGGTACACCTTTCATGATCGATGTTTCCAATAAGGTACGTTTGCTGACACCGAGCAAGACAACAAGTTGAAGAAAACAAGCACAACGATTATTTGAGTAAATATGGGAAAGAAGCCACAGAGAAATGGGAAATTTGAGTAAAATTGAAGTGAAAGTAGGATAAAAGACCGTCTGTCTGTGAGTCAAACTGCATGGTGAGTTCTAGTTATGTTTTAATGATTTAACTGATATTTATATAACAAAAGTGTAAAATTCATAATTAGCGCACAGTTTTTAAAATAGTGAATGTTCCCTGTGTTTTGCTTGCACAATCGATCACTCCAGACTTCTAGCCACCAACAATATACAGAAAGGGCAAACGAAACAGATTTCACTCTGCGGGTACCGTATTTCCTCTACCAAGCGCCCTCATGCTTATGTTTTCAACGCACTTCCAGACCCAGCGCTTGTTAGAGCCCCGGCGCTTTTTCGCGCTTACCGGGGTGTCATGACTGTAATTGTGAGCTGCATCACCCCCCGGGGCTTATTACCGGAAATACGGTGACTGTAATTACACAAGACGCCAATGAATGGCTGTGTAAAGTATTGTCCTAAGTTCGAATTCGGGTTTTTTACTTCAAACAATACTAGAGGCATGATATATTATACATAGTAAAGTTGAACAGTAAGTGATTGATGTTTGCATAAATTAATGAGGTTGATGTACAAGGTTGGAGGACAGGGGCGTAGCTACCATTATGAAAAAAAGCCCGGGCTTACACACGATTGTTGCTAAAATGGTTGGGGAAGCTTTCTGTGCTATCTAAATATGAAGCTTTGCAACCTATCGGGCTTACACGAAAACTTGGCTTGCTACGCGCCTGGAGGATGTTTACAGAAGAAGGCAATTGTTACACAAACAGAGTAAGCTGTATACCATGCCTCTAGTATTGTACATCATTTGCTTGATAACGGTGTTAGTAGCTACACCGAAACGTCGCTCATATTATATTAAAAAAGTTGTATATCCAAAGAGCTCTCCTCGTAGTTCATCACACCAACTTCTAAATGCCACTCAAACAATAGTGTAATATCTTATATTTATGTCAAGTATGTATCAAGACGGGCAATGTATATTGTATATTCATGTTATTTCAGAACGCTACAGCGTTCACCAACATGACTAGTAGCACTGTCAACCCCTTGTCGTGAATACGTGTTGTGAAGAGTTTGTCATATCAGGTTGACAAAATGATTATACACATGTATACATATATAAATGACAATCTACTCACATCAATGATATTTATATTTTATTCAATGCATGTATACAAACATGGTTAAACAATGATATTGTTAACAATGAACAGTTTTACAAAGTTTCCAATTTTCCAAAGTTTCCTGGCACCCCAAGACCCGATTTGCGTTTCAGGTACAATCTTTTTGCACCCCGTTACTTAGTATCGCACTTAGAGAAATAGGTTGTTACTCTATGTGGATGTCTTGGCATGAACAACTCAAGTCCGTCTGAGGGTCCACAACTGTTTATTCAGTCTACACTTTCAAGCATAGGCTCGAACTTCTCTGCAGCTTCTCTTCCAGGCCTATTGCCTGTCCCGTTATATACCCAGGGTTGGTCATTCTTGGTCCTTTGTCTTTGGTCCCCCCTTCGTATCTGGTCAGTGATGAGTCAACCTTCTTCGCTCTCCCCATTTGCTCTTAATCCTAATTAGGACTGTAATCATCATATCTGGACATTAATTATGGGTTTGCCTCATTGTCTTTATTGGATATCTGGGATGACTTGGCCAAAGTGTCCTTTGTCCAGTGTTCCGCTGATCAGGGGCTATTGTTTGATCCCCTGTCCAGTACTATATTTAGGGGACAGCACGTGTGTTCGATTAGCGTGGGATGGCTGGTCATCTGTTAGTGACCTCCCTACCCGCTGTCACTCCTATGGGTATTGCCCAGAGACAATGGCATCTCAATGACCAGAGCGAGTGTTTAATTACTTAACTTGCTTAATGAGAGGGGTCCAGCTGGACTCTAATATTCTACGCTGGATATACTTCCCCGTCGTATCGTAAGGACGTGACCTCACGTCCTTACGTGGAGAATGTGACCAATGACCGTGACCAACCCTGAGGTACAATTATGTTACATATAAATGGAGATTACAATGTCAACGGAGTACAGTATTTACATGTGAGTTACAAACGTACATTTGGTGCCATTATCTATCACATTTAGTTTTATGAAGTGATGGACATAATAGGAAAACAATGAAATAGTGGTGTTATAAGATGGACATACATGGAAGTTAGGATATAGCCCAGTTACGCAGTGAATTTAAATGATGGACATGGTAGACAAATTCAATTAGTGTCATTATAAAAATGTACATAAATGGAAGTTAGGATATAATGTGGACCCGTATTTGTCATTTTTTAAAACTAATAACATATATACAGCGCTACAATTACCTTCCACTGAGATATAATGCGACCTAACAGAAATATGGTGGTGTGTAAAGTGTTTGTGGAATCCAATGATGTATATGCAACAAACCATCATTGGTGTGTATGCATGGTGTGTGACAGTAGCAGACTTTAGTAAAATGTACGACCATGAGGGTTATTCCGGGGAAGGGTTGGGGGTTAACTTGTACACAGTCAGCATAACTATTATTACTATTTCTAAGCAGTTAAAAAGTGAAATCAACTGACAACTAAAAGTAAAACAACTGACCGGATATAATGTAAGGCACAAGGTATAGGTCCATCTTATGTCAATCACAGGCGCTCTTTATAGTGTAGTCTGTGCACTCATTCATCCTAATCACTACTTAACACATCCTTTGTGTTGACTACTCTCCTACTCACAAAACCTGTATCAAACTAATCCTCTAATGACGTCATCTTCAAATACACAAATTTTCCTTAGGTCAGCTGGCCCTATACTACCGGGACTTGTGGGGGAGTGAATGATCGCTCTAAACACTCTCCCATTGGTATCGAGCACGCCTGTGGACCTGTCCGTGATCAAGAGACAGGTAGGCGGTGGAATCCATCAGCTAACCCTGCCGCAGAGCGACAAACACCTGGTGTCTCTCCAGGGTCCCCAGACAATGGCGTGATGGCTCTTTTGTCTGTGGTTGCCCTGTACCTGATTCCGACAGCTGACACTTATATACTACTCAAAAGAAAAAACACATAACATAGATTTTCAGGTCTTGTCTCTTAGGATGAATCATTAGTTACTTTAATATTAGTGTATTAGTTACTTTAATATTAGTGATAGGTAATAAAACCCCTCGAATTCTGGCCATGTTACTGAAGTTTTATAACATGTACTGTCGGTGTAAAGGCATGCCTAAACTTACTGAGACTCAACGGAATAATGCGATTGGACAGATGAACAACAATCAGCGCTGGCAAGTCGCCTACAACGTATCCTGGAACACCATGTGAACTACATGGGGTTTCTGCCGAGACGTGCAGATGAGAGATCACGCGTGAATAGACGACGTCATGAACGTTATTCTGTGTTCAGGAAGAAAACAGATTTGGCGATGTGTGTGCGGCCATTCCGTACAGTGGTAGGACAGATTTTATTCACATTCAGCAGAATCTCACAGCTCGACGTTATTGTGATGTGATCAACAAGGTCACAAGTCATTCCAGTCATAAACAGATAAATCACCATTTTCATCATGACAATGCTCGACCGCATAACGCAAGGTTGACTACGGTGTTCCTGGTACAGAACAACATTCAGATTCTTTCGTGGACATTCCCAGGTCTGTCATTCGGAATCTGATTCTTTCCTCAAGCAGACGGTGTCAGGGTGTGATTGTCTCTAATGGTTACTGAATTCGTTTGATCTTGACATTTATTTACAGTGTGACTTACTGTTTACTAGATTTGCATCTATTGCAATGTTTTTTTCTCTTTGAATTATCCCATTTAAAGTCACTTCGCAAATGTCTGCATAGTTTATATGAAATAAAAACAAGTTGAAGTTGTTTCAGTCTCCCTTAGTAACTGACAGAAACAGGAAACCCAGATCACAAGTAACTGACAGAAACAGGAAACCCAGATCACAAGTAACTGACAGAAACAGGAAACCCAGATCACAAGTAACTGACAGAAACAGGAAACCCAGATCACAAGTAACTGACAGAAACAGGAAACCCAGATCACAAGTAACTGACAGAAACAGGAAACCCAGATCACAAGTAACTGACAGAAACAGGAAACCCAGATCACAAGTAACTGACAGAAACAGGAAACCCAGATCACAAGTAACTGACAGAAACAGGAAACCCAGATCACAAGTAACTGACAGAAACAGGAAACCCAGATCACAAGTAACTGACAGAAACAGGAAACCCAGATCACAAAAACACTTAAAACATACTCTGTGAAGCTTTAAGTCTGTACCCAAACATCCTTTATTTTGCGCTTCGTATGTATCAACAGAAATCGATTACTAAACTATCGGTAGTCACACATCGATTAACTGCTATCGGTGATTCAACAATTGCAATCCATAGATAGTTCGATGCATCGTTACAGCCTCTGTTTACTGTTTACCTTGTCAACACTGTTTGCTGCAATCATTGCAGTAACTTTTGTTCCGCCAACATGTCAGGTGATGCTCATATTTCACTTAACTTGTTGACAACAATCTGTTATATGCGTTTCTGTTTCTTTTTACGTCGTGTAGACCTATCACATGTTTCTGATTAAAATAAATACTAAGAAAACAAAAAATAACAATAGAAAACTGACACATTTTTTATTCATATAGATTGAATGATTACACCTTTATGATTATAGCTCAACGTGTATATTATAATCTTGAATCATCAATGTCATAAACTGTGGTATTACGTCCTGGATGACTTATATTCTTTGCACGTCAGGATGATTACTTGACCGCACTTTACGACGGACGAAGGGTAACAATCGAAGTAACGTTTTCCATTCACTCAAAGAAAGTGCAATGCCTTTGATGGTAGGTTTATCGTGTACAAACAGACGAATATCCAGGATCGTACTGTTCAGAACGTTGCATACATTGAGTCTTGTGGAGGAAGATAACTTGAACTGATGGTCAGGACACAACATGGCACTGACGTTGATATCGTTACAGTCAACATATGTCATCGGGTGCATCTCAGTTGGTGCAGTATTCCCCATTCGACTGTCAGAGCTTGTGATAGTCCATTCTGCGATAGAAGAACAAGTTAAAAATGATAACAATAACACCAGTGCAACACGAGGGATGTGTTTCTTCTTCACTCTAACACTTCTTTTGAAAAACATGGAGCAATGAGAATCTTCACACGTTTTCTTCTGCGTTGGAAGCTCAACACCAGCTCCCGTGAGTTGAACACACTCCTCAGCAGAAGCAGCAACACTCTGATATTCACAGTCCGTCATTTTCAGTGGTCCACGGTAGACTGACGTGAGATACATTCTATTGACATGTACTTATATACACACTTTTTACTTATTTTCATGACATATAACCTATTACTGACTAATATAATAATCATCAAAATTGGATACAGAATGACTATTTTGTTAGGTGAATCAATGAATTGAAAGTCAAATCATTTTCCATTTAAAGATGAATAACATTGACTACATACATATCCCCACTGATACAACACAATCTTGATTATTAATCACAATAATTAGTTTTTCATGAATAAACAATTTATTATAAAATAATAACAAGCTATGTTTTACCATCACTGTTATATGGTACAACACCAAAAATACCCTCAAACCTCTTTTGACATTACATAACTTTTTGTATTCGTTGCAAGGATTACATCGCGTAAGAGTTGACAATGGACCAATCTTCATGCGTGACTTTGCCACATGTATCACAATACCTATGTTCATCTTCCTCTATGGGATGCTGGGCGTCATGATTCGGCTCGCCACAGACAGTGCAGAAGATATATCTGATGGAACCCGCTTCCTCTGCAATATCATGTCCTCTGCACATACCTGTTTCTTCATCGTCCTCCTTATCGTTGATAGCGGGTTCTGTTGACTTTTTGTCATCACCGATATAGCATTCTTTTGTCTGACCATTGATGATAGAGGAGCTCGATGACTGTTCGTAGTTGGTAGGAAGCCCCACCTGCTCTGAACAGGTTTCTTCTTCTTTTTCAAATATGTAGAACAACAGGTCGTTCACCATGTGCCTTTTCTTGGTTCGAAACTGACCTTGATAAACAATATGGGTACACTCAGAAGCTTGGTCGGTAAACCTCTCCGGGATAAGGACTTCCATTCTGCTGCCCGATGTAACGCTTTCATTCTGGACAACAAACTTGAATAACTGGACAGTTCCCGTCTCTCCATTTATCGCGATCATTTCTCTGCTTAATACTTTCAGCGGTTCGTTCTGGGGGAGTTCGCTTACTTTTATTCTGTTGTTGCTAAACTTTTCCAGTCTTCTCCTGTAAAACTCGCTTGCAATTATTCTTTCACATTTACCCATACTTGTTTTCGTTGCTTTGGACATCTCTTCTTTTTCTGAAATAGATATATTTATATAGGAATATTTACTTAAAGGGAATGTTTGTTTATACTCATTTTAAGTTTCCTTTTTATAGGTTTTATTGTTCGTGATTGGATTATTTAAACAATAACATTTCCCACGTTTCTCGTTCCTTGGGGATTCTTTAAATAGTACTATAAAGTGTATTAGAATACAGTTTTAACAAACAAACAAACAAACGAAAAATAACATTGTACTTACCAGTCAAGTCTCAGGCGTTGGTACGAAAAAATGCGTGACACGAAAGGTTCCTTCCGGTCGGTCTGAAACCACGACGATAGACAGGTGCCCGTTATATATAATTTCTTCTCCGCTGGATAATAAATGACATAACGCACGTCAATCTCTCGCAGTCGATGCCAGCTACGCGGCGAGGCAGGAAAACGGTCGACGCCATCGCCGACTACGGAAACTGTAAACGTAATAACTAATAATCAGTCATCCGTCGATTTTCAAAAAAAGAAAAGAAAAAGGCGATAGGACTGTCGCGCACGGCGTTTAACGTCGTCATAACGCGTCAACGTCGAGCTCGAGGTATAATAAAAACGTCACGATTCGAGGACGGGAGGTCATTCAATTACAATAGAGCTACTGTCGCCTCTCCTCAGCGACATATTGATTTTGTTTGTTTTTCCTGATCGACCAAATCTAATTTTCCCTCAAAATGAGACCTGTGATTAAACTCGCTTCTAGTACAACCTGAGAACATACACTGACATACACTGGTTGGATTGTCGCTGTTCTCACCAATCACTCGTGTACACGGGAAGGTTGGTGCCTGTGGAAATTTTCGATCAATGATGTTGGACAGGGAAAGATGAGGAAAGGGGAGACGAAGGTTGTTGTAGAGTTGGCGGTTAGTTGAAGCACAAAAAGCAATACCGAGGAACGCATCTACAACTGACATACATTCCGTGACAGTGTAATTTATTGTTGAGCAATGTTGTAATTGTACTAGTATTCAGTTGTTCTTGGTAAAATTCAGGGGGGTGGGGAGAGGGGGAGTATTTTTTTTGTTTAACACATAAGCCTCTCTCTCTCTCTCTCTCTCTCTCTCTCTCTCTCTCTCTCTCTCTCTCTCTCTCTCTCTCTCTCTCTCTCTCTCTCTCTCTCTCTCTCTCTCTCTCTCTCTCTCTCTCTCTCTCTCTCTCTCTCTCTCTCTCTCTCTGGGATCCAGGAGATACAAAAGTCTCCGCATTCAATGTCGATCTGAGGAAATCAATCCGGCACTCCGCCATGTCACCTCCACCCTACGGGTTCCTTGTGTACTAACAGCCTGCCAGAATGTGGGGCTGAGTTGTTGCGGACTGTAGCAGAACAGCAGGGACATGGCCTTGTACCGTCTACACCGTCAACGCGGACTACCAGGGACATGGCCTTGACCCGTCTACACCGTCAACGCGGGCTGCCAGGGACATGGCCTTGACCCGTCTACACCGTCAACGCGGACTACCAGGGACATGGCCTTGACCCGTCTACACCGTCAACGCGGACTACCAGGGACATGGCCTTGACCCGTCTACACCGTCAACGCGGATTACCAGGGACATGGCCTTGACCCGTCTACACCGTCAACGCGGACTACCAGGGACATGGCCTTGACCCGTCTACACCGTCAACGCGGACTACCAGGGACATGGCCTTGACCCGTCTACACCGTCAACGCGGGCTGCCAGGGACATGGCCTTGACCCGTCTACACCGTCAACGCGGGCTACCAGGGACATGGCCTTGACCCGTCTACACCGTCAACGCGGGCTACCAGGGACATGGCCTTGACCCGTCTACACCGTCAACGCGGGCTGCCAGGGGAATTGCCTTGACCCGTCTACACCGTCAACGCGGGCTGCCAGGGGAATGGCCTTGACCCGTCTACACCGTCAACGCGGACTGCCAGGCAATGGCCTTGACCCCTCTACACCGTCAACGCGGACTGAAATGGGCACAAACTTTAGGGTTCGAGTTTTTCGGAGGCGTTCACGAAGTGAGGCGTCATGGGGCGGCATTTGTGGCCAGAGAATAAGAAGACTGGTAATAATCCGAGGAAATCTGAATGCCAAGGGATACAGGGATGAAGAGTTGAGACCTTTTCTGGTACTTTATTTCGAAGTAGAGCCATTTTGCAGCTCGACAACGCAAGGCCTCATACCGCCAGAATTTTTCGAGAATACCTGCACAACGTTAACGTCAACGTATTGCCTTGGCCAGCGCGTTCTCCAGGCATGAACCCCATTGAATATCTCTGGGATTATCTTGATTGTCAGCGGAAACGGTGTGTACCAGCTCTAGCGAACCGACAGGAACTTGAACAGACTCTCTTGGACTTATGGAACAGGATTCCTGCTGACGTCATCCGCCGACTGACGACGTCTATGAGGAGACGTGTGTTGCCGTGTATATATGCCCAGGGTGGTCACACTCGCTATTGCTGACGTGTCCCCTGACTCCCGTCTCATTATGTGACTTTTTATGCACTTTTTTAATGAACTCTGATTTGTGTAATTTTTAATTTGGACTGTTGCTTAATTGCGGCAAATGCAAGACCAGCATTACAATGACTTTTCAGTCAAAATATTGGAAAATGATATTTGGTTGTAAAATTATTATCATTAATCTCATATATGACTTTTTTCTATTTGTTTGGTCAAATGTGAAGTCGGTGACAACTTTCTTTGGCCCGGTAGTTTAGTTTGACATATCTCTGACAAGTGTCCACGACAAATAGTGTTACACATTTAATGGAAGTGGTGAAGAGGTAGGTTTGGTTTAATGTGTTGTTAGACAATTTCACATATGGATAAACACCATATCATTTGACAGATAAGACACTCGGATCCTTTATTCACCTTAGGTTATTACATGCGTACAATCGGAATGATTACTTCGGTAACACAAATTGTCAATCCTCCTTTACAAAGCCATGAATTTTATCTAGTTTTATTTTTTTTACAATTCCAGTCATTCCAATCACTTCAAATTATTTTATAATTATATGTGCATGTAGATGTACATTAACATCAAATTGTCATTTAGGTGTTATACTTAAAACATTTATACAGGATTTCTGAAAGACCAGAAGGCATGAAAGCTTGCATGTTTTCAATTTGAAAACTTTGTTGTTTGATAGTATCTATATATTTCTTGTTGTAAAGGTTAAAATTTTGTTTGACTTTCTTTATGTTACATATATATATATATATATATAGCATAGATTTTGTTATAAGAATTCTTGCATTCAAAGGGTTATTCTTTATACCCTTGAATCCAAATAATATATTAATTTTTTTTAACACACCCACTATTATGTTGCAAGATGTCAGAGATATGTCAGTTGATAAATATTCGGACAATGGACCTGACATAGTGGTAGTCGTCTGTATGTGTCGACTTTCTCCCTCGTGTCATCTACTGTTTTGGCGGCTGGTGTGTTTGAAAATAGTACGAGTGTTGGTCCAAATGATCTCTTTAATGTCAATCAGGCACGTGTTTATTTATTCCATTTCACAATTCCGAGTGAGTATTCTTCTCTTCAAATGGTTGTTACATTTTAAGACAAACAAATAAATGTCAGTGTATTTGGTAGGTGTCCTCCCATTACGAAGATAGCCAGTTCGCAGACACCTTAAAACAACAACATTTACGTTGAACAGTGAACAGATTATCTACTACCTACACCTTATAATGGAATAGTCCAAATAAAAACACAGGAACAAACTGAAGCTATATTATTTATTTTGAAAGATTGACGAAGAGACAGTGATTTGATGTTTTATTGCTGTAATATAAAAACAGTTTATTTCATAAACATTTCGGTTTAACCATCTAGTCTAACGGGTGTCGGCATCATCGTATTGAAAACATAAAGAAGTTATATGTTTTGCACACAATATTAAGATATATGACGAGAGCACTTAATTACGATTTATTTAGAATAAATATTTCAAATATGACGCATCATGTGAATGTGGCCATGGATGTGAGAATGTTTTTCATTACTTCCTTGAATGTCCATTCTATACTAGTCAAAGACATAAACTGTTACAATCTTTAGAAAGTATTGTTAAAATTAGAACAGTGATTGGTATTAATCGTATCTTACATGGCAATGCAGGTGTCTCATTTACTGCAAATCAGAATGTTTTCAAATATGTACATATCTATATCTCTCCAACAAAACGTTTTCTCAGTTAACTTCTGTTGTACATATGCTGTTAGTGGGAAGGGTCTTTTCTATCAATAAACACAATCAAACCTCTCAGTGACAATGGGGGCGGTGGGGTAGCGTAGTGGTTAAAGCGTTCGTTCGTCACGCCGAAGACCCGGGTTCGATTCCCCACATGGGTACAATATGTGAAGCCCATTTCTGGTGTCCCCCGCCGTGATATAGCTGGAATATTGCTAATAGCGGCGTAAAACTAAACTCACTCACTCAGTGACAAACCTGTTTTTATATTCGATAGTAATTGATAGTAAACTCAATTCTGAGAAGAGAAATCATCTATCATTTAATCACAACAAAGTTCTATTCACACACAATCAACTTCTCAGTAAAGAACCTGTTTCAGGCTCACCCTACTCTACTCACTAGACAGTAGATTGTTCCATTATACCCATAGGTGTTACCCTAATTAACCTTCTAGTTCAGTGTCAGTCAAATGGGTGTCTGTCAAATAGGTGTCCGTCAATTGAGAGATAACAATTTAGTATTTTCGTCTTGCGAGGCGCGTTAGCCAGACCTGTGAACGAGGTAATTGGCAAACAAAAACAACAGGCTCTGCTACTAGACTGCGCTCAAGTACTCACCCGCGGCGGCCCCAATACCTCCTGCTTGACAGAAGACTTCTAATGCGTTCAATGTGCACTGATAGACAATTAACACTTCCCACAATATGTGTCATATATTCCTACTGTTCCCTCAAACGTGTATCTCCTTGTCACTGTCAATGTGTCGACATATGTATTATGTACCAAGTTCGTTAATCATTCTTTGACGATCTAGACTGAAACGTCGTCTTACAATATGGCATGATAAAGAGAGTATAAGATAATAAAGAAGTGATTATCTTTGAATTGAGTCTACTTTGTGATCCACCAACCTTCGTGAAATTACGTCTCGCACATATCAATCACTCAACATTTCCTTGTTTGCTAATTACCAACAAAACAACGAATGCGATCGCCAGTGTGTCGATTGACCAGTGTAATTGTGTGAACAACATGCAATTTAGCGAACCATCCATAGATGTTGTGGCTTCCAGGTGCCAGTGCTGTTGTTTGTTTTTGTTTATTTGTTGGGTTTTGTTTGTTTTGTTTGGGTTTGTTTTGTTTGTTTGGGGTTGGTTTTTTTTTTTGGGGGGGGGGCGTCACGAATTTCTACTCGAATAACAGAGAACGCTGGCTATGTGACACGTGCACATTTTGTGTTTAATTATCTCACGCATAAATACGTAATTCAGTTGCTGTGGTCATTTTAGTCACATAACAAAAACTGGAATGTGGATTTTCAAACTGTTTTAGTAAATATCAAAACTAAAGTTAAAATATCCAGCCCACACATACATCTTAGTTTATTAAAGTCCACGAGAAAACAACTCATAAGAAACTCTTGAAATATTGCTTATAATGTTTGTCTGGGGAAAAACATGTGCATTCTTGTAATCAGTTGAAAAATACGCTAATAATCAGATCTCTGAAATACAGAAATTGAATTACAAGTAAAAATCATGTGTGCGTGCCAGCGTGCAGCTAGGGATATCTCAAGGTACAGAAAAATCCCTCACACGGCTTGGGTGTTAGAGGAGAAAATGTCGGGGCATGGAAAATGTTCCCGGTTTTTGTTTAGCAAAATACGAACACCGCACCACAACGGAACTTCCTGTCTATTTTAAGAACAATCTGAAATCCCCGTGCAGCACCGATTGGTCGGTGGCGGTCACGCTCCGCCTCTATGAATGAGAGATGCACGAAGCGCTGGCGCTCGCGGCTCTATGCAGTCTTAGGCATTCCTCAGCTAGAGGAGATGAGGTAGTACTGTCAGAGACGAAAGGAGAATACTGTCTTCCGAGGAAACACGATGTGAATGCGGTAAGAATTACCCGTGGAAATACATTGTAACTTTGATTATCACGACATTGTGCTTTGCTGATTTGTATTTAGAGAATGGGCGTCCTTTGTTCGATGTGATTTTCAAGAGCAGAGTTCAGCGCGCCTTTTCAGTTACAGTGGTTAGTTTTCCTTTGTGGGTGTCATTTTTTTCTGGGTCCCATGTTAACCGTTGGCAATGTAGGTCACACCTACTGGCTAGGAAACTGCACTTGTTCGAGGAAAACCGTCGTTTCCAGTGATTATTACTCTTGTTTAGGGGTCAAGCTCACTTGGGTTATGCTAGAATCTCGGTGAGTTGTGCGAAGTATCTAGCTATGAGGATTTGGGTTAGGATTACACTCTGCATGAGGTCTAATAGATCGGACCAGAGAAAGTCTGATGTAAACATCCATCCATTCATGTCCACGGTCATTCACCGTTCATCCAAACATTAATGTTTGAAGCCTTTATTCAGACAGCAATTCACAGCACAGCTAGTTACTTCTTGTGCCTGCTTTCACCGCTAACTGGAGCTGGGGTCACTTGTCCCCAGAGGCGTACATGTAAGACGTGATATGATGTGTTGCTTGACATGCTTGGCTCTGAATATGTCGGCATGTGAACAATTGTTACGTTGTATTGTAATGTTTTATTGTTAAGAAGAAATCTACATGTACATAATTTTATCATCAAGTAGTAAAATGTGAAAATCTACTTTGTTATGATTCTGGTTCGTAGGGTACAAATGTTTTAAACATGATAAAGGATGTCATACCTGGATATAGATCAAATGCATTTGATTTTTTAAATCTGTAATAGACGTGAAATTGACATTGTTAAAAAAATCTAAAAATATACGTAGGTTGTTAGGTATATACAGTTTTAAACTTTAGTACACAGCAAATACTTTTATGTATTTCTTATGCAACAATAAATTTCATATCCTCAAAAGAGCTTTGTCCCCACACTTTTTAGGGCATACAAATGGCATGTAATACAGCAATTACTACTCCCTTGTTGCACCCCATCTTTGGTGGTATAAAACTACACCTGCTTATTTGTCATCATTAACTTGATGGTCAGTTAATGAATTTATGACCACTCAGATTACCCGACAGAGGTTCCATTTAGCATTTCTTGTGTTTGGAGTAAATACTAAACATTATTAATTAGGGCTGATGTGACAAAATGTATTGCAATTTTGCATGTTATGTAACATGCGCATGGAAGTGCAGCAAGAGGAATTATCAGTTGAGTTAAATTTAACTAAAACATTGATCAAAGGATTAACCGATAACACATTGATTGATTAATTACTTTAATCTTGCACAGCAGATTTGTTTAAAGGTAGTGTTTATGTATGTAAATATACTGAATAGACCCACATTCTGTCATAAAGTGCCTATGTAAAAACAACGTATTTCCTTCAAAGGATTAACAGCCAATAGGTTGATTGATTGCTCATTGTTGTCTAACTAAATCATTTTTTAAGGAATGGCAGACATCATGGAAATAGTTGTCAGGCATGCTGTTTTGACCAGATGGTGGCCACATGAAGAGGTACAAACTCCTAGTTGTGGGTACAGCAACATGGAGTAAACTTGGACAAAGTACTGTGACTCAGTGTCCCAGCCCACCCAGCTGTGAATGGGTACCTCTGGCTCATAAGGGTGGGAAAGCCACATTAACTCGGTGCGTCTTGTGGCTGCAAGAGTTGTATTCTCCCTAGGGATTTGAGATTGATAATACAATGTGCTGTTTGAGACTGACACTAACTAACTAGGGTGACCAATGAGACTAACAGCACAGTGAAAGCCCTGAAACAAAGTCGCATGACAAGTAAAGAAACTACCACTAGTTATAACGCAAATGTATGACATATCGTTCCTTTATGTGGATATTGATGGATACATTCCTCGAACACGGTAATAGCCTGATATTATTGCTATAGTCGCTTTTAATTTTGTGATTTGTACATTTTTTATCCCACCGGCATGTAATGCGGTGGGATAAAGTCGTCCGTCTGTCCGTCCGTCCGTAATCATTTTGTTTCCGGAGCATAACTCAAAGACCGTTTGATATTTTTCAACAAAACTTGGTAGATATGTCAAACATAACCTAAGGTGGTACCTTTTGCTATTTACAGATTATTGTCATTTTTATTTTTCTCGGTTTCCATGGAAACGTTTTGGACTTAGTCTTAAAGAAGGGTGGGCTTCATTTCCAGAGCATAACTCAAAAACCGTTCAATATTTTTCAACAAGACTTGGTAGATATATCAAACAGAACCTTAAGTGGTGCCTTTTGCTATTTGCAGATTTTTGGCATGTTTATTTTTCCCGGTTTCCATGGAAACAATTCAGACTTTGTCCCAAAAGTGAAGGGTGGGCTTCGTTTCCGGAGCATAACTCAAGAACCGTTCAATATTTTTCAACAAGACTTGGTAGATATATCAAACAGAACTTTAAGTGGTGCCTTTTGCTATTTGCAGATTTTTGGCATTTTTATTTTTCCCGGTTTCCATGGAAACGATTCGGACTTAGTCCCAAAAGGAGGGGTGGGATTCGTTTACAGAGCACAACTCGAAAACTTCTCAATATCTTTCAGCAAAACTTGGCAGATAAGTGAGGCAGATCTTGAAGTGGTGCCTTTTGCTATTTGCAGATTTTTGTCATTTATTATTTTCTCAGTTTCGATGGAAACAATTCGGACTTAAGTCTCAAAAGGGAGGGGTAAGTTTTGTTTCCGGAGCACAACGCGAAAACTTCTTAATATCTTTCAGTAAAACTTGGCAGATATGTGAGACAGATCTTGAAGTGGTGCCTTTTGCTATTTGCAGATTTTTGTCATTTATTTTTTTCATGATTTCCATGGAAACGATTTGCACTTAGTCTAAAATCAAGCTGGACTGTAAGTAACTGTCAGATGATTTGTTCTTTCAAAGACGCGGGGGCCGGGGGGATATGTCATCTTCTGATGACTCTTGTTTTATTCATTTGTCATGGCATTCAACAAAATCATTCCACTCCTTACGCTGTTAAGTTCTTGGATACAAGGCAGACAACATGAGCAAGGGTGTGTGTGTGTGTGTAAGTAATATGATTCACTTAGGCAATCTATAAAATGTCTAGGTATTAGTCATTTTATACATTCACTGAAAAACATATGTACTTTTCTAAGAAGTTCCAAACTGCATAAACATATAATAATAAATTAATTATGCTAAAAAATATAAAGACATACGTTGACTTTGTATTCTTTTAATCCTGACATTTTTAACCACTGGCAGAAAAACTTCTAAAAGGTTTCATGAAGCTTGACATATTATTGGGTACAAAGATGACTACATTTTTCAATTAATTCAAAGACAAAACTTTATTTCAACCTTGTTGATGAATGTAAGGCTATGCCTTCATACTACCAATTGTGCTTGTGGGTGGTGCACCAGAGATCCCAACCCAGTCAACAATTCTGGGATATCATCTATGTAGTCGCAGGGGGAAAACAATAACAAAAGCAACAACCAGTTCCAGGGAATTGCTCCAGATCAGTGTCCCTATAATACTCGTATCCTGGCAGTGACTGAGTATTGGCCACCCAGGTCGGGTGAATCATCACACCACTATCAGCAAGGAAATACACCACCAAGGAGGGTTTCAGGCTTGTTTGAATTTTAATGCATTTGTGGAATGTTATTTGAAAGTTTTAACGGTTCTTTTCCGTTAATGTTGAAATGAAGTAGATATTTGTTTTAACAAACACAAGTCAATATTCATTCCAGTTCCACTGGTTTTTAGATTCAATCAGCAAAACCGCCCGACTCAAGGAGGAATAAATCCTGTTATTTCCTACCAGAGTACTCCAGTGAATTAAGAGAATAAATAATGATTTGGATCCTCATACCCAGTAGTATGTTTCCTCCTTATATTTTCAGTTCATTGTTCAGAAAAAAGTTTTGGTGAAAGTAACAAAGATCTGTTAGCCATAGTAAATGGCCTAGGTGCATATTACAACTATACACACGTTATATGTGTTGACAGAGGTCAAGCAAGAAAACATGGATTGTCAGATAAGTTCAGTTGTCATAGTGTTCATAACCATTAATTACATATAGCCTTTGAAACTGGTCAGTTGTTCTTGGTAAGCAAGTATGGTACTTGTGTCCAAAGCCCTAGTCAACATACACATGTATGCTCAGCTGTGAAAGTGCATATAACAGAAACAGGGATTTAACCACAATTCCAAACAAGGGTCCATTTTCTAGTAAATTAAGGGGAGTAGGGTAGGTTGGGGGAATCAGTGGCATTTCTGAAGAAACATTCTGATTTTCCAAAAATCTGAAGTTATGGTTAGTAACCTTTACAAAGACATAAAAATTAGTGTATGCTAATAGTTACAAATATATTAACATATATCAGAATGTTTTGTGACATCAGTATGATAGCTGATTGTGGCACTTGCTCCAGACTTTCAATGAAATACACCTTTGAACTGAAATCTGATCCAAATGCCAAGGGGAATATTGAGAACAATATTTGTCCCCAAATCTGCAACAAACATCAGTTAAAATTGTTGGATTGGAGATAAAGATATTCCTGTTGTTGTAGAGATAATTAATTTGCTGAGTCAATACCTCATCCCAAGGAGAGGGTGGCCTCAATGGTAAGTTGACATATACCAGCCACATAAAGAAACTGCATTGTCAAAATATTATCCCAGTTGATAAGTACGATAACAATGTCAAAGGTACATATAAACTTTAATGGAGGAATCATGAGACCATAACAAGTCTGGAGAATTTCAGTTGAAAAGTCAATCACAATGACGTCACGAGTCCACAAGCGGGACAGGGGTCAAACGAAACCTGTGGCGAAGATGGGTCACCCTTATCCATCTGTCCTGTCTTGGTGTTGTTAAACGTGGACGTCCAGAACGTGGCCGATCGATGACGTCATTTGTGTTCTGGTAGCGTCTCACCAGTGCAGAAATGGTGTTCCGGTGGCAGTGGAAATGTGCAGCCACTTGTCGTTGAGACATTCCCCCACGGACCATCCCAATGGCCTCATGACGTTGTGCAGACGTGAGCCTTGGCATGCTATGCATTTCAATAGCCGTTTAAGTTTTTGAACGATCGCAAGGGCAGGGGTTGAGCTTTCCAAAGTGACAGTATTGTGTGGCATTCATTTGCTCTGTTTCTCTTTCCCGCAATGCACGTGCAACAATGTATTGCACGTGTCAAGGACGAACCCACTGACGTCACGGAACATGGCACGTGCATGCATGTTGGATACATGTCACTAATCTCTGAGTTTAAATCCTTATGTGTCTACACAGGTTTGATAAATTTAGATTTTAAATTTGTGTATGCACAGTTTCTTTATGTGCCTAGTATATTTGCATGGATTAGTGATGACTACACTGTTTTTCTAAATTTACGTGCAGCAGGCACAATGAAGTGATGTCATTGTGTGTCACTATATGGATAAAAACTATTAAAACATTATTGACAGCAAAACTACTAGTAATCATTTTGTTGCCACAGATAAAATGAAATAGATACGATTGCTATGGTGGAAATGGGCAAAGAGAAGACAGGAATTCAGTCAGACATTTAATAAATCAACTTAAGTTGTTATTGGCCAACAAAATAGTTGATTTGTTATCAATAAAGATAGCAGTACTATTATGCCCAATGAATGATGCTCACAATGCTAGTTTGCAAATGCCTTGAATTATCCAGACTGTTGCCCTGCCACATGAACATCAGATGAAGAATATCAACTACTTTTCTGTTTGTATCAGCAGTTTTTTTTTATCATTGTTCGTTGATCAAAATCTTCCAATTATGAACCAAGTTATTGTTGACCATCAAGTGTAACTAACAATGATAATTTAAAGTTTTGTTCAGGAACATGAATGATAATGTCCCTGCCAACTGACAAAAACATAGGTGTGATCAAGGAAGTGATTGCATGGTTAAGATTATGTCATATCTGTCTGTTACATACAGATGTTAACTTGATGTTTTCTAATATTTTCCTTTTCTTCGACAGGAAGGATGGCTGAAAACATGACAAACCACCACCAGTACATGCAGTCAGGGGGGCATGAATTCAAGACAAACTGGGTGGCCATCTTCTTCAGCAAGCAACATGTATGCAGCCCCTGACAGTGGAATACCTGTCTTGTCAAGTCGGTTTAATTCTGTCCCTACAAATGCAATGAGCATAGGGAATCAGATGAACTATGCTCCCCACCAAGCCTCCATAGACACTACTTGCAGACCTCCCAACTCGCAACACAGCAGGAATCAAGCCAGCCCATGGTGGCAGCATTGTAAGATCAGTAGACAAGCTTGTGTTGAGTTTGGGAAGTTGCTTGATGCTGCAAAGGACGAACAGCAGATATTGAACTATGATGCTCAACAGTTATCAAGGGACGATCAGTTTCACTTTCGGAAAAAAGTTCAAGCATTCTTGGCGAGACTTTGCACCAATCAGCAGTTGTTGGAATGTATAAATGCCGATTTGTTTTTGGCACAATTTTTTTCAGCCATATTTCTTCAACATTGTGAAACATGTAACAGGCATTGATATTGAAAAAATGCCAACTCAAGACAATGCCAGTCAACACACCACAAGACAGCCTCAGCAGGTCCCTGCCAACCATGGCATGTCGCAGGTTAATCAGCATGGCACAGGTGGTGGCTTTGAAAATCTCCCCACCAGAGGAAACATCCAACAATTCCAGATTAATGGAATGTCTACGAGAGGGAACAGTTCTTTCACACCCACTAGCTATGTAAACCCTCCACCCCCATATCCATTCCAGGGTAGCACTCAGACAAACTTTTATCAAGGAGGTAGTGTTCCTGATAATTCTCGGTCAGCCGTTCCACAGAATGTTTCAGCAGCGATCCCAAGGTGGTGTAAAATGCCTACAGAGAGGTATGAATCTGGACGAGTTGTCAAACAGTCTGTTGAGAGAGTGAGTTCGCACCAAAGACAACAAGAACCTACTGGTATGCCTGTAAAGGCTGGTAACCAACCTGTTCCTCTTCCTTTACCAGCAGTTAATACATACACTTCTCATGTGCCATCTCTTGCTTCTCAACCAGACTATACAAGTGTTCACAAGGAGTGGAATTATCCTCAACGACAAACCAGTCGGTCAGCTATGCAACCAGACATCCTTTCAGTTTCTGTGAACAGTAACAGTAGATCAGTTCCACAAACAATTTCTCAGCAGTCAAATGTCCAATCTGGCCATGCAGGAGCTTTGCCACAACAACAGACAATGTGTGATTCAAGAAGCCAAAGGAATACCCCCAGGGACTCCAATTGTTCAGATTTAGTTCCACAGCAGTCCGTGCAGGCACCTGCAACAATTCGAATACATCCAAATAATTATCCATCAACATCCAGGAAAGAAACATCTGTGTTGCCTGATTCAAAAGAACATTTACGACAGTTAATGTCAAATACTCCACCAGTGCAGACTGTTGAACGTAACTCTCCTATGAATCAGCTTGAAAATACAGCCAAGGAACCTGTTGTAATGCCAGTTGCAGAACCTGTTGTCCCAGTTGTAGAACCCGTTGTCCCAGTTGTAGAACCCGTTGTCCCAGTTGCAGAACCTGTTGTCCCAGTTGCAGAACCTGTTGTCCCAGTTGTGGAACTAGCTGCTGCTCCAGTAGAAGGATCCACACCCTGTGATCAACAACTTACAGATACTGCTGACACGTATTCAAACATCATTTCAATGCCAGTGTTAGTTGAAGATCAGTCATCTAGAAAAAGTGAATCATCAAAACCAGTGTCATCGCTCTCAAAACAATTGAAAAATAGCTTTGATATGAATGTGCCCAGCCCTTTCACTGCTGATGTGTCCGATTCAGTAGATCGGTGGCTGTCTGGCAGTAAGAGTAGTGAACTATTGGACACATTGACTTCTAAGGCACTTGAAGATAAAAGGAGACCATGTGTTGAGAAACAGAAGCAGAATATCAGTTCTGTTGATAAGGAATCTGGTGAGTCATTGCCCCAGTTGGACAGTGTCATTATTACAGATGATGTGAAAGTGATGCAAACATCTACAGGTTCCATATCACAGGAAAACACAGCCAAACATTGCTCTGTCAAGAAAACACATTCTGAAAATGAAACAGTTTCAAGAAGTTTGGGAATATATGATCCACCTCTGCCTGTGATAAAACATAAGAAGAGAGAAAGCAGGATTTCTCCTCTTAAGAAGTCCAATTCTAACACAGATACAGATGTTGATACACCTGCTGAAGATGCTGCACATTCGAAGGGCAAAACAATTGAGTCAAGAAGACATAGTGAGGGGTCAGGCAAAACCACAGGCTCAACTTTCAAGAGGAAACTGGAAGTATACAAAGCAAGTCTTGACACAGAACCTTTATTTTCTGTTCTTGACAACCTTTCAGCTCGGAAAACTGCAAAATCCAATGGTAATAGAGTAACTGAGGGTAAGGAATTGACCAGTGTTCTTGATTCAGAGAAGCAGCGTCATAAATCAGCAGAAGTATCGTCAAGCAGTTTACAGTTGAATGAAGAGAAACATAAGAAATCTCATTCAGAAAATAGAGACAAGAGTCTAAAACATCATGAACGAACCAAAAAGTGTGATCCAAAAAAAAGCATTTCTGTGCGTGAACAGCTTGTGCATGTTGGGGAGAGAGCAGGAACATCTAAAGACAGAATTAGTCATCACAGAAGCGAAAGTCAATCTCAGCAAGAGTCTTCCACAATCAGTGCTCGTGAAAAAGTATATTCTCAATGGTCAGGCAATCAGAAACATACTGGGAAGCCAAACAATGTTGGTCATGTACGTAGGCAGTCATGTCCTGATAAAAATGGTTCAAAATGTGGAGGTAATAAAAATAAGAGATCCTTAACATGGGATGGAGCTACACCAACTAGTGCTGCATTAGAGGAAGTTGACGGTCACACTGAAGACAATGCCTATTTACCTTCTAATGGAGAATTCATTTGGTTTCATGGACAAAAGTTGTTGATGATAAACTTGCCTGATGGAAAACATCTCATCATGAAAGAATTTGTCAAATGTTGCTTGTCCGATTATGACATTTCTCGTGTTTACAAGACAAAAACCTGTACGCTCAAAATCAATCACAAAACACTGACACATAGTTGTCGGAGAGAAGTTGAGAAGTATCTCTGCTATAAAAAAATAAAATTTTCAAGTCAGATGGGAGTAGTATTGTTAGCAAATGCTCAAAAGTTGTATCATCACATGCTCAAGATTAAATCATGCCCTGAAGGAAACTGTGTCGGCCCAAACCCACCGGTGTATGAAAGGTTGACAAGAGAGGAAGACAACTTGGTGCAAAAAGAACGCTCCGTCTCTCCAGACAGCACTGTGCAGTCAAATCAGCAGTCAAAAGCCTCCACTGACCTCAAGTTCCCATCTTCATCCTCGAAAGGAGATGGTCCAGATGATGTTCAGTTAAACAAAGTCTCCAGTCAATCTCAGGATTCAGAAGACACATGTGGAAATGATGAATCTGCCATCATTGCCCCGTCAGCTGAACAGGAAGATGAGGGTGCAGTGTCCGATGTGAGTGATGCAACAGATATTTACTGTGATGGAAAGCCAGTGCCCAAGCATTGGCCTGAAGTCACTGCTGAAGAAACAGATGAGAAGGACTGTGAGGTAATCAAAGGAGGCTTTGCTATCATTCAAAAGGACAAGATGCCAGACAGAACACTACGGTATATTGTGGTTGATGGAGAAAAATGCTATGTTTATCAGGACTTATTTCAACTATTCTCTAAAGAAGAAGTTGTGAAGGTTGTGATTCATAAGGATATGCATGTGGCAGAATGTACCGCTGACAGTGCTCATTACCTGTCCCGATTAGAACCAAAGCTGCCCCCTGTTATGACTGGGGAGTGTTTCCTCATCAAGGAGAAATATGTCAGGAAAGTCTTCGCCTACTTTGGGGAGCCATATCCCAAACTAAAGCTTATTAAGAATGGCTTTAAACGCAAAAGTTTGCCTCCATTGCTGGCTTCAGAGACTGACAGCCATGACGATGATGGTTTGTCCCCTCCAAAGAAAAAACTACTCTCCCACTCTTCACCAGAAGGGAGTAATGATGATAGTGGCAAGAAATTAAATCACCAAGACAAAATTAGCAGCAAAGACAATGACAACTCAGGTATATATTTTTCAGTCACACAGTATCTTGTTAAAAGAAATCACACACATACAATGTTACCTCTCAAATGCTGAGGCTTTTATAGCATTTATTTCATTTTCAAATGTCAAATGAGGTAAAATGGTTTTATTGGTTTTTTCAAGGACTCCCAATTGACAACTCTTAAGTATACTTATGTTGAAACAGCATTGAATTGGCCATTTCTAAATATCTTCTGTTTAGGATGCAATGCATGTGTTATGTCATGACTTACTTAAGGTAAAATATTTCTGTTGCTTGAAGTTACATTCTTGTCTCCTCCCAGGCAACAATGGAATGACTAGTGGCTCTTGTTTATCAAGGACAAGTGGACTGAAGCGGAAGCTGGGAGATGATTGTGGTGCCAGGGAAGGGCCAGTTTCCAAGAAAAGTCACCTCGGTGAGTATCACATGCGATGCCAATTGATTGTTTGCAGTAGGATAACTACAGATGCTTGACTGTCAGTAACTTCAACAATGTCCCACTAAATGTGTATCGTATGATTGGAATGTTCAATATTATTTTAGGATATATATATTTCAGATGACATTTTCAATGAATCCCGAGAATACATCCTGCAGGCATTTGTAACCCTGAAGGAACAACACAAGCAAATGGCAGGTTAGTACTTGTTACTGTTTGGAACAGTGCAGTCACTATGCATTCAGATTGGTTCCACGTCACGCCAAAGACCCAGGTTCCATTCCCCACATGGGTACAATATGTGAAGCCCATCTCTGGTGTCCCCCGCCATGATATTACTGGAATATGGCTAAAAGCAGCGTTACAACCTCACTGACTCATTCCCTCAGGTTCCACTGGCGTGTGTTCGAGTCTTTGTTCCAGTCGGGTATCAAAGTGTATGACCCTAACACAATGTATGTAGTACGTGTGTTCTTTGTGTAAATGTGTTGGTATGATGCAGAGAGGTTTATGAATGTTGGTTATTGGTGTATGTCGTCACTTTCAGCTGACTTGGAGTATGTCAAGACTGAGGTTCGCGAGACTAAAGCGATGAAGACTCACCTGGAAGAGGAGTGCAAGAAACAGGAAGGTACGACTACACTCACCATGCCGCTGTATTACAGTGCTGCCATTGAGTAACATGGATCGGTCAGGCACACTCATTCCTTCCTGGGGGTGGTGGGGTAGCCTAGTGATTGAGGCATTTGCACACACACCTCACTCCTGGACATTTGGTGAGGGACTAGGATTGGTTTCCCCTCCAGTTCCCCACTTTTTTTCTACAAGTAATATGGAAGTGTTTATTAAGAGATTGAGGCTGCTCTGTTATGCTTCTTTATTCAAGTTTCATGTTTGACGGTTCCTACAGAGACATATTTTGTTGTAAATATTCTCATGTAAGCCTCCAAGGTTTAGTGGGTGCTATGGTTGGTGGTATGACTTCTCTCTGACCTCTACCATCCTTCCTTTCACTCACCATTATCAGACGTCTGAGAGGGCATCATGTTCAAGGGCATCATTGTATCTCATTGGGTAGTGCCATGCACACGCACGCACACAAACACACACACACACACACACACACATATACTATGTGAGTGGAACTAATACTTGTTTTAAGAGAGGCACAAAATATCTATAGGATCCTAATTCACCCAGTCAAGTAGCATTTGTCATGAATAACCACAACTTATCTCATTATATTTATCTGTTTCCTGCTGATGTGTTTCAGGAGACATGACGAGTCTGAAGTCTGAGCTGAGTGTGTCAAAGGAATATAATGTGTCTTTGGAACAGAAATATAAAGAGCTTGAAGGTATGCTGACAAGTGTACCATGGACATTCCCTACACTGCTATTCCTTATATTAGGACGTAGTCCGTAAATGAAATCAAATATGCTCTTGCATTAAACTGTTTGTCCCCAAAAAGAAATGGTAATGGATCATGATATTGAATTCAACTGTATGGAAGCTCTCCAAAATACCAAACTTGCTGTTCCAAGTCTTATCATGATGTTCATGAATTATTTTTCACAGGTTTACAACGAACTTATATATAAACACATGCTTGTTGCTGCAGGTGTTCTGTCTCAGCTGAAGGGGGACCTACATGTAATGAAAGAGGAAAACAAGGCACTTACTAAGGAGAGGGATCACAATAAAGGTCAGTGTCTGTCTTTGGTCTCTCAGTTTGTATTGGCAATCATATTGAGGCATCCTGAGGAAGGTTGAATTATAGTAGCTAATCTGTAGTGTCCTACAATCATATTGAGGCATCCTGAGGAAGGTTGAATTATAGTAGCTAATCTGTAGTGTCCTACAATCATATTGAGGAACTCTGAGGAAGGTTGAATTATAGTAGCTAATCTGTAGTGTCCTACAATCATATTGAGGCACTCTGAGGTAGGTTGAATTATGATTGCTAATCTGTAGTGTCCTACAATCATATTGAGGCACTCTGAGGGAGGTTGAATTATAGTAGCTAATCTGTAAGGTCCTACAATCATATTGAGGCACTCTGAGGGAGGTTGAATTATGGTTGCTAATCTGTAGCGTCCTACAATCATATTGAGGCACTCTGAGGGAGGTTGAATTATGGTTGCCAATCTGTTGTGTCCTATCATCTTCAGATTTCTTGGAGAAAGTTGTTGGCGCCTACCGAATGATCGATGATGATGATGCAACAGGAAGTGCTTGAAGGTAAGAAGTGGGCATTACTAATAATTGTGGGGAACAAAAGCTTTCAAAAGCAAAAGTGATACCACTAGGTGTATACAGCATGCTAGCATAACCGCAGTGTAAAGCTTCTTTGAGTGGCCCTTAAATGGCCACGTTTGAAGCCAGCAGAACATGTATTGTACTGGCACTACACGCTAAATGGGCTAGCATTCTCCAACATGTTTGTCCATGGGCAGGAAATGTCAAAAGCAGTTGATGCTAATTGTGGACAGATGAGGTTGAGTTCTCACAACGTTCCGTTTTTTTTAGGTGCATATAAGAAAATGGAAATTAGGTGACTTGTATAAGACAATCCCAAATTTGACCTTTGAAATCCATGTTTACATTATAGACCTGACCATATAGACTAACCCCAGCAACAGTCAGCAGTTGAGACATAGTGAGCATTGATGTCATTATGTTCATATTTTCATCATTAAACATCAAATATTTAAACTAGACATGGTTTCAGTGCACTGAGTAGGAACTCTCATGCCTCTTGTCATGCATTGAGTCTGCCACTGGGGACACTGCAGCCTCCCATGTGTCCAAAGTGTGCGTGAGGAGATTCGAGTCCGGATTCATAGCATACCAGTGTGTGATCCAGTTCTGTAGGTTGGCTGTCTGTGCCTTGGAATGATGGTGCCTTGGTATTATCTTCAGTGAATTGAGGTCTTGTGGCAGATCAGCTGGTTCCAGTACTTATCAGATTTACTGATTAAATGTGAGGAGACCTTATGTGGAAAACAAATCAACTTGCAATTGTGAAAGATACATTCCCAGGTCAGCCTCCGAATGAGAGATACTTGTCTTGATGTTCTGGATGCAAGGGTCATAATCCTGTGCATTCAAACAGTTTATCATCTATCAATGATGAGGAGAAAGGTGCTTTCACCCAGCCAATGAATTTGCAACCAGTTTCTTGAAATGTAAGTGTGTGAAGCTTAACATAATGCCAAACCAAACCCCAGTTGCTGATCTGTCTGGAGTAGTGTTGGTCTGATTAATTGAAATAATCGAAGATTGGTCGCAATGACTTAACGACCAAGCAATCGATCATGTTTTCTCATAATCGAACACCAACAATTCTGGAATACTTGTTTTCATTACCAATATTTTTACAAGGTTGGTTTTGTCTGTTACATTTCATAAGCACTACAAGCTCATTTCAAGTCATGATTGAATTTATCTTAAAGACTCCCAAGAAATTTATGTTCCTAACATACTAGTCATCCTTTAATGATGTGAAATTTTGCCCAAAACCCCCCAAAGAACTACATGGGTTTTTTTTCCCCTTATTTTTTATGCATTAAAAATTTCATAAATGACGCTAGCCAATTATTTTCAATGATTGATAGGTGTCAATTATGAGTTTTTAACCAATTCCCAACACTAGTCTGTAGGGGATGTTTGAAAACTCCCCTGGATCATCAAGGTTCTGGTTGACAGAGGTCTACTGAGCAGCCACTGTCCCTTCACGACAGAACTCCTTGCATGTAGATGTTATCTTACTAATCAAAGCAAGATCTTTACACTGTACTGCCACAGATGGTTGTCCTAATCGTGGAACATCATACTCAGCTTTTGTTTGACCATTTCTTCCCACCAGTCTTTGATTACAGCAACTCTAAAGGACTTCACTGTTCAATGCACCCTGATTATCTGCCATCGCACCTCTGATGCCTCCCCCATGCCACATTCAGAGACAATGATTAAACATTATAAGACAGCAGATTCATATACCCAGATTTGTTGTCTGGATGTTTTGACAAATGCAGTAGTGTGATGCTGCAAGATCCTGCTGTGTAGAGTTCTGAAGTCACCATCAAACATGACTGCTCACATGCGTGCATATAAACATTGTCATCATTATGGTCATAATTAAGGTGGCATTCAGTATTTCTTCAGTGACTGACCATCATTCATCTGTGTGTAGTGTTGAAGTTCTTGTAGTTCATGGTTTTATTTCCTTCCATGGCTTTTCTGGAGTGCTACTATTAAATTTTTCATTACTGGTTTGTTCGGGCTGTTAATGGATATAGATGACGAATTTCACATTTGTTGCACTTTCAGGGCAACTGGACAGAAGTGCCACCATGTGCTGATGGTAGAAGATCCACAACTGCAGGGACCCCATCAGTTATCTGTACACTATGTTTTACAGTGTTAGCTGTACTTGACGAATTGGAGTTGATAGTCAAGCAACTAAAAAAGATCAAAGTATAAGATACTGTTTTTGTACTCATTATACTAAAATGCCCAAATAAAAGTTACTCAAGTTAGCAGGTTTACAATCAGTTCTTATGAACCTCTGCAGATTTAAGAAACAAGCCACCAGTGCAGGTATTGAGCATTTATGTTCTGCAGGGCCTGTGATCTTTGTTTGGAAAACCTTTTAAGGTCACTGCTTTCCTTAGAAAGGAGAAGTTAACCTAGTTTGTTTCAAAGAAAATCTATGTGTTCCTGCGAGAATATCAGATGACTGCCTCTTGTACACAAGTAGACGTGTGAATGGTAGTAGTGGAAATTCTTCATGGTAAAGAATGTTGTGTTTAGGAAGACATGGACAACTCAGATGTAGATGACAGCAGCAGGATGTTGTGCAGTGTTGTTGCCTACATCTTTCACTCAGGTTAAAAATGCTGGCCTTCACATTTCATCATGTGGCATCATCTGTTGTCTTACATTAAAGGCATGTCTCATATCATAACATGAGTTCTGGAAAGTTAGATATCACAAATATATCTTATTTCAAAAGTTACGATCTCAAAATGGAATGTGTTCATTGACAGTCATTGTATAATGAAAGCGATGTAAGTTTTTTATCTTTCTTTTGGCTCAGTATGTTTTTTCCATGTTATTGATATTATTTTTATACTATTTATTTGTAGCCTTCTGTTTACTGTATGTGCCAAATGGTAAATTATGTTTGTACTTTGTAGGTTAGTGCTGATAGTTCTACACAGTATTGATTAATTTAAATAGTGCAAATACCTCTAAGAGGCCTTGTTTAGTCCTGAACATCCTCATCTAGGGTTGAGGAGAATATCCAGTGTAATGCTTGCACGGACATGGTCAGGTTGCCTCCAACTTCACTAATAGAGAATATCTCAGGAAATCCAACATTTGAAGTAAGCATATTTCTGTGACTAGCGATGTTTTGAATGTGTCTGTTATAGGTTCTGTATAGAGAGTTTGTATTAAGTTTATGACATCGACATATCATGTTGTAAATATGTGCAATTGCATAATTTATACAGCTCCATTTTCAATGACGAGTTCAATGTTGACCTTTCTATATTGAACAGTAATTATTGTTTCTAAAAACAAAAAAACAATAATAATTTAGTTTGTTTTTTTACTTTTGTATAAAAAATAAATGCTGAATACAACTTCCTTTGTATTGTCCTGTTTTTAATTATTCATATGTCTCTCATTGCACAGATTTTAATGTTGATGAAACCCCAGAGACAGAACTATCATTTGTGTGTTTTGTTCAACATGTGAAATGTAAACAGTTCAAGAAAAGAGACCCTGTTTTGGTTGTGTATGGATTTCAGCAGCTGAATGCATAACCCTTCTCTCAAGGTCTCCCTTTGCACATGCTTTGGGGAGATTAGCATCTTGTCCACTGACAAGACAACATGACATGTAAGCGGGGTAAAGAAACCATGTTCAACACTGGCATGTGCAACACAGCTATACTGTGAAAGGGTCAAAGTACACTGACGATAGCAAAGGGTTTGCTGGACCAAGAAACTCTGATTATTTTGCTTGCTGCGGACAGATATGATCTATAATCCTTCGCAGCAAAATGTAGTTAACATAGAAAAATTGTGGGTCGGTTGCTGTCACAGTGCCAGTAGTCCAGAGACAGTAGATAAGCCAGAGGCTGTGAGTGAAGTGTCCCCCTCACTGGTGCCTGAGGGCAATCGTGTCAGACAATGGGCATCGGTCGCTTTCCAGAAGTAAATAATCAAGAATGAGTGATGGGGGATCTAAAGAAGTCACCATTCACTGCCTATTAAAAATGAAGGTTTTCTCAGAGACAGTAGACGGACGACTGACACACAACAAGCAACTTTTCCGGCAGCACAGAGCAGGAGGGACCCCGGGCCAGAACCAGAGCCATTACAGTCAACTGTTCTCTCTCCTTAAATAAAACCATCCTGAATTGATGAAATGTGTTGTGTAACACATGGAACTCTGGCTTGCTGCCAATTTACCCTCTGGGCTTACTTCTGGATGCTGGTTCTTCAATTCCTTGTGTTATTTGAATAACTCAGACATGAATGAGTTATATATTTTCACTAGCATACTAGAATTTTGGCTTTATTGACATCTGCTGGACAAGAATGTATCCCCATTTCTAAAACCTGGCTTCAATTTCAATCATGTGACATCTTCAAAAAGTCTTCATAGATTTCACATTTGTATGGAAATGTCTGCAATGGCAACCTTGTTAAAAGTTCCATTTTGGGGTTAATTTTGAATGCAGTATGTGCTATCACAATTATGTAATATTTGTTTGTATGTTTTAAACTTTCTTCCTACCTGTGACCATTCAATGAATTTTTCATCTGTGAAACCATCCAGTCAGTGAAGGTGAAATTTTCTGCATATGGTATTTTGCATCCCACAGAGGTTTTCATGGTGTGAGTGTTCAGGATTCGTGATTGGTTGCAATCAGATTTAGAAGTGATCATTCACAAGGCCTCATAATTTCCGTATGCTTCAGGAAAACTAGAACCTCTTCCCCTGTGCGATGCGCAAACGTTTCTTCTAGACAGAACTCAGTCATGTAATGGCGGATCAATGACGCCTCCATCGTCCTCGTTGACAACGGACAAGGTTACCATTATATGTCTTGTGTGTCACACCAACACAGGTCCCCGGCAGAGGAGGGATATTTGTGGCCCCACCTTTGCTTGTATAAGTAAAGTTGGATCTAAGTTGATGTAACACCTGTTCTGATTGAATAGAAAGAAGGGAGATAATTCATGTATTTTCCGAGAACCGGGAAATAGGGCCGTATTAGAACTGAGGTTCGTAGGAAGATATGACAAGTAACCTCTGTGGGAAGAGAATGGGTATTTTGTTGAAAATTTCACAGTATTCTGGTCCAACTGAAAAATAATTTTGCTGTGAATTGTGATATTTGACACATGTGCTGATAGTGGCAATGTCCTCATGATGGACAGGATGGTGGGGTAGCCTAGTGGTTAAAGCGTTCGCTCATCATGCCAAAAGCTCTGTTTCAACTCCCCACATGGGTACAATGTGTGAAGCCGATTTCTGGTGTCCCCTGCCATTATATTGCTGGAAAATTGCTAAAAGGGCATAAAACCATACTCACTCATGATAGACATATAACCTGGGATCCCTATATCATTACCATGTAAAAGTATGTTTCAACAGACCCTTAAAATGTCTGTTCTGCAGAAAGTTTTTTTGTTTTGCTTCCTTGATGTGATCACTCTGATAAAAATTACAGATTATAGTTATAATTAAGTTAGACAATGATTATCTGGTCTATTCTGTTTTATAAGCTCTCAGCAAGTTAAGTATTCAATGTTAGCAGTCATCAAAACAGACGGCAGCAGAGGGGCAAATTTAGATATGTTGGTAGCTTTGACAAAAAGCCAGGAGCAGAAGCATGTGTGTAACCTTCTTCAATGATTTAAAATCATTCTTTGAAGATAGATCACATGACTCACATTCCGGACATGGTTGAGGGAATTGGTGAACTACTGTCTACAAGGATGGTTGAGAACATGTCACTCCCCAGAATAGTAATTAATGCTGTTGCCGGAGGCAGTTTGTGTGATCCATTGTTTGTGGATGTATTCGTTATTAATTGTGGTTATTCCAAAGTGAATAGAGGTAAGCTCCATTGTTTTGCTTTGTCATCCAACACTTAACAGGACACCCACCTGCCCTGAGCAATGTCACCTTAGCTCAATTTATTGTGCATCTACTTTTGCTTTAGTACGTAGTATCTATAAACATGTATATACCCTTCACGATTCAGAGGGCCAACTTATGGGCTAACCATAAATGTTCCTATGGCTGCTGGTAACTATATCAATCAATGTTACTACACCAGGTTGGCAGTGGGTTTATTAGGGCTGTTGTATGACTGTTGACCTCTGATGGCGGAATCTTCCATATCACATCTGTCCCTGTACTTCATCCAGGAGCACTCGTGCATATCTTCTGATCAGTGGACTATCAGCTGTTTGAATGGTGTCTGCACATGACGCCGACCCTTGGGTGAGATGTCAAGGCTTCCGTCCTGTCCATTTGACTTACACCAATTCACAAGGGATTAAAAAAGACAAAGGAACGATCCAGTGTTTTCACAAGGCGATGATCCGGATTATGCAGTTGAGAGCACAGCCAACAGGAGAAAAGTACTATATACAGTGTATTTCATCCATTTAATTTAGAATTGCCATGGTACTGGTGGAGGTCCATTGGAACTGATCTCATCTCTATGGAGACGTTTTCAACATAATGGGAACACGGCCGTCCACGCGTGACGTCACGTCAGGAAGACAAACACTTTCAGCTGACCCATCTAAGGAATCGATTCTAGACTGCCTGACTTACATCCAAGCAGACTGTGCTTCCTAATGAACCGACTGAGGGAGCACAATGACCTGCAATACATCCACATCTGCTCCAACGTCGCTGACAGGCACCTCTTGCTTGGTGCAGACAGCATCTACGGTACAGGACACAAGATTGGGATGGTGTTCACAGACAAGTCGAGATTTCATCTGGGCAGCTAAGACAGCAAGGTGAACAGTATGCTGACGCGTGCCTTGTTCAACGGCTACAGTTTGGTAGCGGAACCGTTGTGGTATGGGTTGTCATCACATCTCATTGTCGGACACAACTTGTCATTGTCAATGGCAATCTGACCGGTCTGCAATACAAGTATGAGATCATTGGGCCTCATGTGCAGCCATTCACTCAAGGACAAAGACGTAACTTTACACTTCAGCAAGATAATGCTCATGTACATGTCAGATTCCTAAGACTGCAGAACATTCCGGTAATTCCCTGGCCAGCTGTTTCTCTGGACCTGTCCCGTATGGAGCATGCTTGGAAAGAAATGGAGCAATGTTTACGTCAAGCCCAGAATTGGGACATGCGTTGGTTCAGACATGGAACAACATTTCCCAAGAATAGTGTCGTTTATGCATCGTGGTCGTTGTCAATCCTGCATCGAACGCTATTGGTGGACACACACGATACTGATATTGTGAACTGACTTTTGACACCACATCTCTTCAAGGGTGTGTCACGATGCCAAGTGTCAAGTCATTTCGATATTATCCTGTCCACAGTTAAACACTGATTAAAGAAAACAACACAAATCATGTTATTATCTGTTCGCATTAACATATGGCATAACATCAAATCATGCACATTTACCTTATTCCACTAGTAGTTTAGGGACTGAGACAGACTGAGGTCAAGCCTGCACTTGTCAGCTGGCTAGGGGATGCTGTAATCTTACAAGGTCGAGAGTAGGATCAGTTGGTGACGGCAGCCCTAGAGGTAGGGCTGTGTGGATAAGGAACTTCGTTATCCTGGCGTATTACTTTAGTTGGGATTTGTTCAGGGACGTTAGTTAAATTTGTCATTTGTTACAAGTTATCAATGTACACGATTTGGTGAAACACATGTGTGTCTAGGACCTTCTATTTGCGTACTTTCATGATATCTTCGGTGTGGCGTGATTGTCTTTTTAATCCACAATAAACAACAGACAAAATACTTAAACCATAAAACATAGACTGTGAAGGATAGCTAGCCGGTGAGTTGATCTCAATCACTTAATCAAAATGATGTACCAAGGCAGACTCGAACACCAGAGTGCAGGGGATGGCAAATCCTCCTGCCCTCCCAAATTAGAAATAAGCCCCAAAATGATTGGTGTGTGCAACGTTTCATAACAGAATACGTATTAGGTTTGGAGGTATAGTCAGGACAAACACACTAGATTCAGAGTCAAACTTGTTGCCATGGAAACGGAAACATTAGCTATTCATAAACTCCCTAAACAGCAAAAGGGACCAGCTGACAATCTGGGAAAGTTTTGAAATTTGGGTCCAAACAGGCAATAATAACGTAGCAAACTGGAATGCACATGTACATCACGTTCTTCACACAATATCTCAAAAGCCGTGGGTGGTATGTTCCTGTGGTGTGAAGGCGCCAACCATATTGGGCTCTAAATTTCATAATTGCAGTTTGTGCAAAACATTTTTCGGATTTGATTTAAAAGGTAAGTAAACTTAAAGTATTCTTGACGTTGCAAGACTTTCAGAAAATTAACGATGGCAAGTTATTGGTATGCATGACGAAGGGATGTCCTGTC